TTACAATTCTTGTCATTTATTAGAAAATAGATATTTAGTTATTTAAATCACATTATAAATATTTTTATGTTTGATATGAATTGGATAGTTTTGCTTTTTCAACTCTGAATTAGATCATGTCCAGTACTATACATGAACTTTTAAGATAGACCATCTAAAACATCCACAGTCTACCCTTGTTCATGTGTGTGTGTGTGTGTGTGTGTGTGTGTGTGTGTGTGTGTGTGTAGTTTACTTCTTAAACCTAGCCTTGGCTCTGCATTCTTCTGAAGTTTCTCTATCCAAAGCTAAGAATTTATTTTCATTTCTTTATTTGACTGTGCTTTGGTAATCTACTGTGTAACAATTCACACCAAACTTAGTAGTTATAATGTGACAGTTTATTACTTCTCATGATTTAGATTTACTACATTTGATCTATGGACTCTACAAATCATATTATTTAAAAAGCCACATGGAGGAGAGGAAGGGATAGGGACAGATAGACAGACATATATACATGCACACACAGATATGAATATATAAACACATATAAGAGAAGTTAAGACTAATGATAATTTCACAAAATACCTCCAAATTTAAGGGTCAAAAAATAGCAGAAATCTTTTATTTAATATAATTTTAGTACTGGAATTAAGACCTTGCCTAAATGTTTATCTCCAAGAAGCTTTGACTCTTAGGTGGAAATGAGCACTATCTTGATGTCTCTATTCTTATTTCTATTAGAGAACTGATAGTGGTCTATTGCAATTACTGTTTACTTTTCCCGTTAGACTGGACAACTTGAGAGTCTGGCATAGACAACACATGCCGGTTGAACAATGAATGAATTCTTTATGTGTGAATTACTATAAAGGTAGAAGACTCATTTCTTCATCCTTTACATTTCTTCTCTGCAGTGGTGTGATGCCATTTTATGGTGATGCCTGAATAAGGATAGCCTGACTTGAATGATCCATTAAAACCAAGTGTGGGGTCCAGTCTGTTCTGAGAACTTGTTCTTACAGAGTTCTCCTGGAATTGTGCTCTCGAACCAAGGCCTTGCTACTCTTTATTGGAAGAAGGAACTTGTCTTATCATAGGATTATGTTCTTTCTAACCCCTAATGACCTAGAACAGCACACACAACCACAAACAGATGTTACCAGTTTAGTCCTACTGTTGTTTGCAACACAAATGGGATGACTTGTGCTTCCAATGAATATTCATTGCTTTCAGTGCTTAATATTTTCACAACATATACACACACACACACACACACACACACACACACACATACACACACATTTTTCTGGGTCAAGGGCAAGAAAGGGTCATGAGAGATTAAAACTGTATGTTTAGGTTACAAGGGGAGCACAAGGCCTAATAAGCTTTTTTACATTATAAGCAAGTATGTAAAAATAATTCCACACTTCTTTTGTTCCTCTCTGTTCTTTTCTTCTATTAGTTCTGTTTCACAGACGAAGCTGTCTGTTTATTCTCTAGTCCCATGTTCTTCCTACAAAAGAATATCCTAAAAGTCTGCCCATTGCTTTTTACCTCGCTAATAGCTTCTACTTGTGTTGGACTAGTTGACTTTCCCCGTAATTAGAACTGATCTTGTTCCTCTATTCACTATAGACTAGAATCACTTCAGTTGAATATTCCTTCTCAATTCCCTTTCCCATTTTGGCTCTTGTGTCTTTTATCATGGCTGCCATAGGTAATGGAGTAAAGTAACCTGAGTCCCATTTTCTGCTCTTTACAGACCAACAGAGGACGTTGTATTCTAGAGCAGTAATCCTAAATGCTGTTTTCTTGTATATTCCCTTCTGCATTAAGGTCTAACTTGGTCTGCTTACTAGTTCTTTGTTAGTCTGAGCCTTAGGTGAAAGGACCGAATGTGTCAAAGGTCTTAGACCAAGAAGAGCAGGGTACAACTAAGGAACAGAAACAAGCTAGTGTTGCTAGAACTAAGTGAATGGAGGGGGCAATTATAATGCCAGGGGCTAGATTATGCAGATTTTATAGTTCTTGTTTATGACCTTTGATTTTATGCTAACTGCAGCAGGAAGCCATTCATGCTTATTGTTGGTAAATTCATAGAAGACATTTTGTTTCTGTCCCTGGCACTTGATAATCAGTTATCTGATTATTTCCACAAGATTTATTTATTTCTAAAACTTGTGCTAATAATAAAACTATTTTTCTTTATATACATAAATACTTTTA